ATACAGATTGACAGAGTTGGAGGGGATCTTATAGGTCATGTAGTCCACCCCCCCGCAGCCCAATCAAACCCTACACCATTTCTGACAGAAGGCAGTCCAGTCTCTTCTTGAAAGCCTCCATTGATGAAGCTCCCACAACTTCTGAAGGCAACTTCTGTTCCATCGGTTGATTCTCACTGTCAGAAAGTTTCTAGGTTAAATCTCTCTTTGTTCGTTTTCCATCCATTATTCCTTGTCTGGCCTTCAGGTGCCTTGGAAAATAGCTTGACCCCGTTCTCTCTCTGGTAGCCCCTCAAGTATTGGAAGACTGCTATCCTACCTCCCCTTGTCCTTCTCTTCCCTAGACTAGCCATGCCCAGTTCCTGCAACAGTTTATCGTGTGTTTCAGCCTCCAGTCCCCTCATCATCCTGGTTGCCCTTCTCTGCACTTTTTCTAGAGTCTCAACATCTTTTTCATAACACGGTGACCAAAACTATTCTCGATTATGTTACAATCTTAAGGCATGTCCTTAAGGAAGTTTGGTTCTTAATTAATGCATGAGAAAATGTTGTTAAATGTTCTTGTGAACTCCTGATCAGCTGTTTGGCAAGGAACTTAAATCTCTGTTATTGTTTTTTTCTTCTCAAGGTTTGCCACTTGCAAGTCAGGAACAAGGTGTTCTACAGATTCTTCCCCAGATTTTGATAGCGATCTTTCTAATGTCAACTCAGCATTCAAAACTGTTGTGTTACATTTGTCCCTTTCGTGCCTAGGGTGAAGGATCATGTAGCATTGTGAGCAAAAAGCAGATTATCAACAAATGATCTACTCTGTTGAGCCTCCCAAAGATGCTTTTTCAAAAGGCAGCTGGACTTTCTTGGTGTTTTTCACCCCCATTGAAAGCATTTCGCTTCTCATGCAAGAAACTTCTTCAGTTCTTCAAGAACCGAAGAAGCTTCTTCAGATGAGAAGCGAGATGTCTTCAAGGAAAGACAAAAAGTCCAGTTGCCTTTTGAAAAAACACCTTGGGGACAACCATGACCTGGATGACTTGAGAATCTCCGTACAAAAATTTGGTGAGAAATTTTAGATCCTTCCGTAGATTTGTCATCAGAAGAGGGGGAGTAGTCCCTGTCCTCTCTTTTTAGCTGCTTGGTGATGTGTATAAATCTAGAAAATTTTACAAAAATGCGAATTGACTTACCTGCTCATCAATAATTTGTAAATAGCTATTTGTCGTAGTTAGGACTGTCAAAGGTTGAAAGCAAGGAACCAGCCACCCGAGATAATTCTTCCTTTAATCCTTGGGTTTCCTTTTTCACTTTCCCTTGGAGATTCAGAGGCTGTACCAGTTTTCCTTAGGATTGCAAAAATCTGGTTGGAAAAGTTAAGATGTTTTTCAGAGGCCAAAGCACTGCACCCAGACAGATTCCATGGTAACTGTAATATTCTGTAGATTTACTGAATGATATTTAAGTCTTTGCAAGGACTTGGTCACGGTTAGATGTAATTTTGTGAGCCTATTAATGCTGCTGCAAATCAAGTTAGAAATGTGAAGCTGACCTAATAGTATATTGGCTGCTGGCTTATATATGTTTTTTAAAAAATGATTATAATTGCAAAAGTAAAAACTAATGTCAATTTTAAAAAGGGAAGCGAAGGGAAGGAGAAAGGGGAGGGAACATAAAGAGAAAGGGGAGGAAAGAGGGAAGAGAAGGAGGAAGGAAAGGAGATAGGAAAGGGGAGGAGAAAGGGGAGGGGAAGGAGAGGAAAGAGGGAAGAGAGGAAGGAAAGGAGATAGGAAAGGGAAGGAGAAAGGGGAGGGGAAGGAAAGGAGGAAGAGAAGGAGAAAGGGAGGGAAAGGAAAGGAAGAGGAGAAAGGGGAGGGAAAGGAAAGACTTCCAACTTTCATCACAAGAAGTATAAACAATTTACAACCCCTTCTTAATTTACAGCTATTGGTCTCTTCATCTTATGCCCAACTCTATAAACAAACCCGTAAAGCATCATCATTTCAGTCCCAGGGTTGGCAAAAGAGTTGCCCCAAATAACAACTTATCTATTTGAACCTTGATCAACTCAATCCACTTTATACTCCTTTCTTTTACTTCAAGCAGTTTTAATCTTTAGTTCATTGCAATAATGTCATAGAATTTGATTTCTGCAAAAGGTCATTTCTTCATTAAAGATTTGGAAAAAAGGTATTATTTAGGCTGCTGGCCTTGATACAATGCCTCTCAGGTCTTGTGAAACACAGATTGAGTGGAAATCCTTAATGGAGAATCCATCACATTGTACTCAGGAGCGTCAAGTGTTGTTTACCAAGAAGTTGTGGTCAGACCTGTCAGTAGACTATTTACCTGGGAAGCAGCAGGTTCAATCTGACTGGAGCTGACAGGGAAGGAAGCCTTGCAAATTGGAGTAACTTGTTGGTTGAGGAGGGAAAATGTTCTGTTCGGCATTCTTCAAGGTTAAAATAGATTTTATTTTAGCTCTGATGTAAGCCATTTTTCTGGGGGAGTAGTTACACTCATTTCCTGATGTTCTAAAGTTGTAAACCTAGAACTAAGGAGAACTAAGAACCTAGAATTAAGACAAAATGTCCTGACAAAACAATTCATCCGTGGAACAACTTGTCTCCAGAAGTTGTAAGTACTCATTGGAGGTTTCTAAGAAGAGATTGGACAGGTGTAGGGGGTTGGACTAGATGAACTCTAAGGTCTTCTCTTCCTCTTCCTCTTCCTCTTCCTCTTCCTCTTCTCTTCTCTCCTCCCCTCCCCTTCCATTCTGTCTTTCACTGCTGCAAAATGCCATTCTTGGCTGCTTGTAATAGTGGTTTGCACAGTTTTCATCACAGTCAAAGAAATTAATCATATATTGACATTCAAATAGTCCTGTCCTGAACCAATTTTTATTCAGATAATTATAACAACCGGTGCTTTTGGGCTTTTTTTAAAAAAACTAGGCGACTGTTTGAGGTTCATGAAAGAAACAGCAGTCTTTCACTTAATTACTTTGGGTTGAATATGTTAATGTCTTCCCTAAATTTCCAAGCCTCAATTTCTCTGCCACCTGTTAATCTCCATATGTTATTTTCCCACCTTTGCCACCAGCTGCTCACTTTCTAAGTTGTTCTGTGGTGGTAAGCAGACGTTGTTAAGGAAAAAAAGGGGACCTCTTTTCTTAATACTTTGGTTATTTTGTGAATATATCAGTGGAAAACTTTCTATTTATCCACTCAGAGAGGAAGCCCATGGAATAGAGCTAGTCAATGGACAGGAGATGCGGAAATACATAAAAGTTGGCCAGAGTCACTGATTTGGTAAGCATGTGACCATGGAGTCCCCAGTGGTCAAACCCAACTTTATGTCACCCAAGAAGATGGGTGCACCCTAAAGTAGACCACAAAAAGGAGAGATGGATTTATGACATCGTTTTCTTTGGGCTGGTCTACTGTAAAAAAATGATACGGATGGTGTAATATGGATTGGATTAGGTGCCATCTCAATAAACCTGAAGGCAATCACTCTAATCCTTGTCCTTAAAGGAGCAAGTGTGAAACCTTAATTCTTGTTCTTGTTCAGCTTCCCTACTTTGGAGAAGCAAGTCACTTGCATTGGGAACTTACTAGTACAAAGATCTGGCTCAAAAACAGGAACTGTGAGAGGGACCTTGGAGTCTTAGTGGATGTGAGCTAGCCATGTGCAGCCGCCGTCAAAAAAAGCTAATACAATCCTGGATTGTATAAACAGGCATAGAATCAAGATCACGTGAAGTATATTAGTGCAGCTTTACAAAACCCTAATAAGATCACACCTGGAATACTGCACCCAAGTTTGGTCACCATACTACAAAAAAGATCTTGAGACTTTGGAAAAAGTTCAGAGAAGAGCAATTAAGATGATCAAAGGCCTGGAGACTAAAACATAGGAAGAACGATTGCAGGTTTGGGGTCTGGCTAGTCTAAAGAAAAGAAGAATTAGGGGATGTCATGATAGCAGTCTTTCAGCATTTCATGGGTTGCCTCAAAGAAGAGGGGGTCAAATTATTCTCCAAAGCACCAGACAGGGCAGGACAAGAAACAATGGATAGAAACTAACCAAGGAGGGAAGCAACCTGGAATTAAGGGGAAACTCCTAGCAATGAGGACAATTAACCAGTGGAACGGCTTTGCCGTCAGAAATCGTGGGTGCTCCCCCATGGTTATAATAGTCATATTTTAAACTTACATTTAGGACTTGGACATCTTACAAATCCTTTGAAAGCTATTCATCTCATGGAAATTCGTTTAAAAAAAATAGTTGGAAATTTAGGTCAGTGCATTACATAAAGCAGGAATTACCTAATATTTGAAGATCAGTATTAATATCGAAGGAGTAGGAAGATAAATCCAATAACTTTATAAAGATACTGAGGTTTTCCAAAATTTGCCTGTCAAATAACTTCACGTGCCTTTAAATATAATTTTTATATTTTGTACACTTTTACATTAGTAGCAATGATAAAAACATATAGAATGGTGCTGCGCTTAAGGTGTTTATATATTGTATATTTAATAATGTTGGTTTTTAAGTACTGTTAAATTATTGTTACATTTGTAATTTAGTCGATTGTGAAAGCATTTGGATAAACTCAGGAGTCGATTGTGAAAGCATTTGGATAAACTCAGGAAATACCTCCATGTGACATATTATTACAATGTAATGACAATTAAATTTGTCTAATTTAAAAAAAAATTAAAAAAGAAAAGAAATCGTGGGTGCTTCATCACTGGAGGTTTTTAAGAAGAGACTAGACAGCCACATTTGAAATGGCATAGGGTCTCCTGCTTGACCAGAGGGCTGGACTAGAAGACCCCTAAGGTCCCTTCCAGCTTCTATTCTATTCTATTCTATTCTATTCTATTCTATTCTATTCCCAGGTAAATGGGTAAGGAAAACACGGAGCTGATACAGGAATCAGATCAAAGAGAAATGCCGCAAATTTAATTGCCCTTCCAACCTCTCTTTTTCTCCCCCAGGATCAACGTATAGCGTTCTTTCCATAATGCCTTCGGATTCCGAAAGCAGTAGTTCTTTGAGCAGTACTGGTAAGTAAAGAGCTACATGTCTTGCCCTTTGGCTGTTTGGTTTGAATTGATTGTCAGTCTTGAATATATGCATTTTCTTACTCAAAAATCTACGCTTAGAATTGTGGTCACTGCTTGAAAGTTCCAGACCAAGTCTATGTTCGAGAAAAGGATGTTTCTGAAAAAGGCTGGATTTCCGTCAAGTAGTCTTCAATTTATGAGCCCAAAATTTCTGTTGCTAAGTTTTTTCTGTGTGCGTCTTGAGTGTGCATGTGTGTGTATACTGCTATCTAGACTCTGTTTTTCAAACTTCTGTGTCCTTTTTCATTGCAGCAAACTATTCATAGATCGATTGCTCACCTGTAACTTTTTTTTTAGTATTCTATGTCTTCATTGCTGCAAACTGTTAATAAATCAGGCGTTCACCTACAACGTTTTTTATATAACTATTCTACTTCTTCTTCCTCTAGAATTTTGACCCTGTCTTGAGTTTATAGTGGACAGATCTTTTTAGTACTCTTTGAAATGCAACACTGACTTTAGGGTTGGTTTCTTGATTTTCATCCGGACTAAAATCCTGATGGTAACCTACAAATCTTCCGTTATGGCTGGCGACTCTTAAGCCAGTAATTCCAGTGTCTGAAACCCTGAGTCTAAAGGAGGTGGCTTTGACCACACATTTCCTGCTAACAAGAGTGCTTAGGTTGCATTTCGTACATTAGTACTTCATTAGTTATAGAGTTTCCAAGCAAGCTTTCTACCACGCCAGCGCTCTAAACAGTGCGTAAAACTTAGCCCTTACATGATTTAAGTAGGTGCTCAATTTGGTTTTATTTTCGGAATCTGATTTTAATTTTAGGGAGGCTTGGAAAAGTGTATGCATCTGAAGCAAAGTCCGGAAACACATCTGTCCGATACGCCTGTGGGAGCAATTCTCACGCAGCTGAAATCTTGGGGCCTGATGCTAAATTATTCCTTGATCAAAACAGGGAATCATGGAGACTGTTTTCTCCACCCACCCACTCCAACACACAAACACACAAGGAAAGCACTTTCCCTTTAAGTGTGGCGAATGAGACCACAACAAGCATTCACACCCTGTTGGCATGATAAATAGAAATTGTGTTTCAATACGTAGCAGTCCCTGGATACTGTTTGGATTTTCTGCAACAAAATGAAAAGTTTCAGGACACTTTTGGGAGGCTGTTTCTTGGTTGCGGGTCAGGCTTGTGGGAAAGCTGTTGTGTCTGCAAGAGATAACATGTTTCAGTCAGTGAAATCAGCTTTCAGTAAATAGAAAACATTACTTTGAGCCTAAGCTTGTGATGAGTGTCTGGCACGATTTTGCACTGCCAGCCCAGATGGTTTAAATCACATTTCTGCTGGTCTTTTTATCCTAATAAGATGAACGGTGCCTTTAAAAAAAAAAAGAATCTCTGTTGTTTATTTAAAAGTGAACTCCATGGAGGTTTAGCTGTCAGCCACTCTTCAAAGATCCTTCTCTCCTTCTGCCAATCAAAACGCTTCCTTCTTTCCTTCCTTCCTTCTTTCCTCCCTTTCTCCCTCCCTTCCCTTCCCTTTTCTCTTCCCTTCCTTCATTTCTCCTTCTGCCTTCCTCCCTCCCTCCCTCCCTCCCTTTACTTCTCTTTTCTCTTCCCTTCTTCCTTCCCTCCCTTCCTTTGCCTTCCTTCCTTCCCTCCCTCTCCACTTCCTTCCCTCTCCTTCCTTCCTTCCTTCCCTTCCTTCCTTCCTCCCTCCCTTCCATCCATCCATCCATCTATCCATCCATCCATCTTCCTTTCCAAAAAGCGAAGCATTTCTCTTAAATTCCTGCAGACTATACTGTAAATAATAATTATGGAATTGTCAGGAGCCTTTTTTACTCTTTTTTTTAAAAAAAAAGAAAAGGAAAAAAGGTATTGTTTGGCATTTCCCTGAAAACTATGTCCCTGTTGTCCAGGAAAGTCAACAGTAAATGCAGTCTGATTCAGATTAGACATAATCAGATACAATAAGCATGATCAGATCATCAGAATAAATAATGAAAATGATTTCTCTAAAGACCGTAGAGTATCTGGGATCTACTCCCATTCCCAGGGAATTGTGATAATTACAGGGTGTCCCTGTGGATTTTGCTCCTCCCTAGTCGTTGCTGACTCTAGGGGGCGCTGCTCATCTCCGTTTTCAGGCCAGCGCTGCCCAAAGACATTTCTGTGGTCATGTGATCAGTATGACATCACCTTCCCACCAAAGTGGTACCTTTTTATCTACTCGCATTTGCATGCTTTCGAACTGCTAAGTCCTAACCCCCATAATTCTGCTTCTGTTTTTGTTTGATCCCAGGCACTACAGGCAAAGAGTCGTCACCCCCACCTGCATCGGTGGATGTGAGGCAGATGAGTGAGAAAGTGGAGACCATTTTGATTCAGCTTCGCCAAGTGACCCGTGAAAGAGATGAGCTCCGGAAACGTCTCGCCTTGTCCTCTCCCGGCTCAACCTTCGATGACTGCAGGTAAGAGGATCCAGAGCGGAATAGGTAGAGATTTATTTCTCTACTGGGTATAGAATCTACCAGAGCTTCTGTTCTTGGGAACCAAAGGTTCCTCCCTCTTTTTATTATTATTATTGATGATATGTTTTTAAGTGTTCAGTTGAAATTTTCATGTTTAGTGAATAAAAGAGATAATAATACATTAAATGTTCAGTTGACTGAGTTTCATGTTTAATGAATGAAAGATAATAATAATAATAATAATAATAATAATAATAATAATAATAATAATAATAATAATAATAATAATAATTTGATACCTAGGATGCTGGCAGCAACCCGTGTCAACCTTCAGCACCAGCCAATGATATTTGTGATATTATTATTATCTTTTATTAATTTAAATGTTCAGTTGACTTGAATTTCATGTTTAATGAATAAGAAATGATGATGATGATGATAATAAATTTTAAATGTTCAGTTGACACTTTCATGTTTAGTGAATAAAAGAGATAATAATAATACATTAAATGTTCAATTGACTGAGTTTCATGCTTAATGAATAAAAGAGATAATAATAGAAATAATAATAATAATAAATGTTTTAATATTCAATTGACAGTTTCATGTTTAGTGAATAAAAGAGATAATAATAAATTAAATGTTCAGTTGACTGAGTTTCATGCTTAATGAATAAAAGAGATAATAATAGAAATAATAATAATAATAATAATAATAAATGTTTTAATATTCAGTTGACAGTTTTATGTTTAGTGAATAAAAGAGATAATAATAAATTAAATGTTCAGTTGACTGAGTTTCATGCTTAATGAATAAAAGAGATAATAATAGAAATAATAATAATAATAAATGTTTTAATATTCAGTTGACAGTTTCATGTTTAGTGAATAAAAGAGATAATAATAAATTAAATGTTCTGTTGACTGAGTTTCATGTTTAATGAATAAAAGAGATAATAATAATTTTTTTAAATATTCAGTTGACAGAGTTTCATGTTTAGTGAATAAAAGAGATACTAATAAATTAACAGTTCAGTTGACTGAGTTATGTTTAATGAATAAAAGAAATAATAATACATGTTTAAATATTCAGTTGACAAGAGTTTCCTGTTTAGTGAATAAAAGATGATAATAACAATAGCAATAATAATAAAGTGATAAATCCCTTGCATACCGTTGACCAAACACTCCAAAGAGTCTTGAGCTTGCTCCTATGTCCATCTCTCTCTGGTAGGCCTAACCCCAAACCAAACCATGATTATGAAAGATTGAAGATCCAGTGTATGAAGGCCATGTCGGATCTACAATCCCTACAGAACCAACACACCAAAACACTAAAGAGGTGTGAAGAAGCCGCTAAGGAAGCTGATTTCTATCAGTGAGTAAACAGCCACATCCCTATTGTGTTTGCTTATTTTTTTTTCCTTTTTGCATTGAATAGATTCTCTTAAAGAGTTGGATATTCAGGGACTTTTAATGCTAGCTTTCTTATCCTTCAGTCTGTTTGTCTCTAAAATGTCCTAATTTTAACATCTGGGGGAGGGAGAATCTACAGAGCATTGGGAAACGGATTAAGGATTAGTGTTTTTTTTTTTAATCTCGCAGATTGGAAATCAGCTCCTGAAAACTGCTAGAATGCAAACTTGTCTTGCAAAGAAATGGAGCAAAGTCTATTAAAAGTGACTTTTCCAGACTTAAAACAAGTCCCCCCCGCTTTTGATTGTATGTTTGGAAGACATATTGGTTTTCTGTTTCTGAATCATTTTTCTTTTCCTTGATCCAGATTGGGGTATAGCCTATAGGTCAAAATGTTCCCCTGGTACAGTTAGATACAATAGTCCCTGACTTTCAATCATTCTCCTTCTCTTCCTTCTCTTCCTCCTCCTCCTCCTCTTCTTCTTCCTCCTCTTTCTCTCCTCCCCTGCTTCTCCTTTTTATTCTCTCCTCCTCCTCCTCCTCCTCCTCCTCCTCCTCCTCTCAAAATTGCATTGATATGTCCATACACACTCAAAAAGTTGAGCTTGATTTGAAACTTTGAGTTTTGAAGCTAAGCATTGATTAGTACTTGATTAGTACTAAGAGGCAGAGAATCCTCCCCCTCTTCCTCCTCCTCCTCTCTCCTCCTCCTCCTCTTCTTCTCCTCCTCCTCCTCCTCCTCCTCCTTCTCAAAATTACACTGGTATATCCACGAACCCTCAAAAACTTAAGGTTGAATCAAACATTTTTACTGTTTTCAACGCCCAAATCCTTCACGATGACCCTAAATTTTCCCTCTATATTTTAATAGAGAAGGCCAGCAGTGGATTACTTCCTTAACTCTACATCCTTTTTAAAAGTCACATTTTAATTTCCAGGCGCAAGGGAGCGTTTTCCTTGGGCCTTACTCCTGTGCCTTTCTCTTCTGCTCAGTACGTTACACAGCCGCCTGCTGAGCGACCAGTCCCAGCTGAAGGAGGACATGGACACTCTGAAGAGGAAGAACAGCCAGTTTGTACGGGAGCACAACCACCTTCAGCAATTGTGTGAGGAAATGAAGAGGCTTCACGAGGAGGACCAGAAGGAAATAACAAACTTACGCAGCCAACAACAACAGGTATTTCTTCCCCCTGGTATTTTAAGGTACAGCTACTCCCTGACTTACAACCTTTCATAAAAGTGACCATTCGAAGTTACAACACTGAAAAGACCGACTTACGGCCATTTTTCACATGGCCATCTCAGCATCTTTGTTGTGGTTCGCCGGTGCAGACGGCAGCGGAGTTGGACAGGGGGAAGAACGGGGACCAGTCAGGGAGTCTGGAGAGGACTAGGACAAGGGTCCTGAGTCTGATGCAGAGATGGGGCCAGGACCATCTGGGAGTGGGGTGCTGCCTTCATAGCCTTTGGAGTCTGGCAGCAGTGAGGCAGAGGAGCCAGGGGAGCCTGTTCCCAGTGCACGTGTGCACAGAGCTGCTAGAAGGCAAGAGCAGCTGAGACAAAAGGGAAGACTCAGGAGTAAGGCTGGGAGGTGATTGCCCCTCCCATAAGGTATAAAAGTCAGGCCAAGATGATGAAACCTTTGCAGGAAGCAAAGTAGTTCGATAGATTCCGAGTCCTCCTTGAAGCTTTGTGTAATCTGGTTGGTTTTTTCCTGTACTTCAGCTGGTTTCTTTTATAGATAATTGGATACTTCTGTTTCTGGCAGCATTCCATAGCACTGAAAGGTGTGTGTTTATCTTGGGGAACTATTTAAGATTAGTTCTGTCTGGGAATGAAAGGAATTCCCAGCGTTGCAATGAAATTGGTTTTGCTTTTAAAACAAGCTTGATATTAATTACTTTTGATGAAGCCTAGGTCAGAACACTCGTAGTGGTTGCGTGATCCGAATTTGGATGCTTGGCAAACCTGACTCGTATTTACGACGGTTGCAGGGTCCTGGGGTCACACAATCCCCTTTTGTGCGACCTTCTGAATGAGCAAAAGTCTGCTGGGAATCCAGATTTACTTAGCAACCGTGTGACTCACTTAAACAACTGCAGGGATTCATTTAACGCATGTGGCAAGTAACGTCACTTAACCACTGTCTCGCTTAGCAACAGAAATATTGGGCCCTGTCGTGGTCGTAAATCGAGGACTGCTGTCGTTTCCATAGGAAAGGTCTTTTTTTTTTTCTCCCACAATTAAAATACACATTCATGCATTAGTAGTGCTTTTCATCTAATTAGCATACTGGTTGCATTTCTTCCCTGATGGCTTTTCAGCTATGATTTTTGCAGGATTTAGGCACCGCGGTTGAAATTTTTCCTAAGGCAAATCTAAGCAGTGTTGCGTGTGTCTATTTATACACTTTCTGGTTTTTCAGCTTTGCAATAGCTCGAAGATAATTTATTCCAAAAGTGGTTTTCTGATGTTAATTAGATCTCACCAGGATGTTCTATAGGCCGTTCGGTTTTTAATCTGCTTGTTTCTTACATTGAATTTCGGTCGTTGTGATGCTGCCTTACATCAATGCACAAATCTCTTATCTTCTCAGTCTGTAAGGAACTCTTCTGATAGGATTCTGCTTCTGGAAACCCAGCCTGGATTTCTTTCTGCTGGACTTGATTCTCACTGCTTTACTTAGAGGAAACCTGATGAATTTCTTTTTCTTTTTTTGAAATAATTTTTTTAAATATAATCATTCCATCTTCAGTTGATGTGATGACCTGGGGCGTGGCACAAAGCCAACACAGTTAATCAATAAGAGCCCCTTTATTAGCTCCAACTTTGCCCCCAATGTCCTGGTTACCTTCTGGCTGGAGAAAAACTCTCCCAGGAACAGCCTTTGACTGCACAGAATCAAGTCCAAAATCTGGTCAACAAAAACTGTAACTATAAGTCCGATCAAGGGAAAATGTGGTAATTAGTTTGGCAGGGCAGGAGCAAGAATTCAGACGTGACTCCCGAGAACACAGATAAGCAAAGTCAACACAAGATAAACTCATGTTTGCTCCCAGCAGCTGCCTCACACAGCCTGTATTTCTTTTAAATTTTCTTCCCAGGTGTGCCTAATGAAGGGAATCAGGGCCCTTTCCTTCCTCGTAAGCCACGCAACCCCTGTTGCTCCCTTCTCCGTTCCTCCCTGTGTGCCCTAGGATGAAGAGGGGGTTGGGCCTGGGTCTTCCTCTGAACTCCCTCTCCCTTGTTCTACCTCTCCCTTGCTCTGCCCATCTGGACTATGGCCTTCCCCAGTTTCCTCCACAGCTAACTGAGCCACACTCCCACTCCCTGTCAGCTGTTCATCTTCCTCCTCAGATTCAAATTCCAACAGGGGCATTACAATTGAATAGTAGGTTGTCTGGGTACAAATAGCTTCATTAAACAATAATCAAGATTACAACATACTTCATTAAATTAACATTAATTCTACAACCTTTAACATAATCATGTTCCACATATTAATTCTAAAATATTAACATAATAATATTCAACATACTAGTCATAATATTTACTTATCTTTTTTATCATATTTTTTTATTTTGGTTCCCTATTTCTAACTTCCATTTTTATTATTTAACCATTGGTAAAATAGTTCCCATACCATATGATATTCAGTTTGCTCTTTCTCCTTAATTGCCAGAATTAATCTATTCATTTCCACACATTTTCCTAATCACATTCTCAAGTGTAGGTATCTCTAATAACTGACGAATTTCCAGCTCCCTTCAACCCTCTTGGCCAAACCAACAAGAAGTTGCCAAATCGTTAAATGAGAGAAACCCATCCAAAGTTGTCCTTATCTAGATAGAATGGTAATTCAAGCTGATGAGCTCTTTTTTTCTACATTAATTATAACAGAATAACAGATTTGAAAGGGACCTTGGAGGTCTTCTAGTCCAGTGGTTGCCAACTGTTGGTCCGTGGGAAAATTTTGGTGGTCCGCAGAGAAATGTCACCCCCAAAGCAATTAATCCAGGCTGCGTGGGAACACAAGGCTTGCGTCACTTGCATTGCGGACAACACGAGGTAGTGAGTGGAGTAGGGAAAGGTAAGGGGGGGGGAAGTTGCCCCACTCACCCCACACACCTGGCCTGGCCATCGGGCTGCTTCTTTCCACTTCTTTCTTCTTCTGCTTTTGGCTGCACGCAAGAAAAGCAGCAAAAGTCTTTCTTTCTCTCCCCCAGACTCCACCAGAAATGAATCTTTGGGACCCTGCAAGGCCTCCTGCTCCAAGAGGCTGCACCGGCGAAGACTCATTTATGGCAGAGTTTGGGGGAGAGAAAGAAAAACTTCTGCTGCTTCTGCTGCTTTCCTTGCATGAAGCCAAAAGTCTCTCTCTCTCTCTCTCTCTCTCCCCATGAGAACGGAGCTGGAGATAGTATCCTGCGAATCCAAATAAAGAACAATCAATCGGTAGGAAAAAGGGGTGGGGAATTTTCCTGCAGACTTTTTTTTCTGCAGCCACCGTCAATCAAAATTCATATTAGTGGGATTTAAAATTATGAGTTTGGTGGTCCCTGAGGTCCAAAAGATTGGTGACCCCTGTTCTAGTCCAACCCCTGCTCAAACAGGAGACCCTACACCATCCCAATCAAATGGTTGTCCAGTCTATTCTTGAAAACATCCAATAAAGTGGTACATCTGTGAGGAGCTGCACCAAGGTAGTTAGTTGAAACGAACTTAGCACTTCATGGGACATTCACATCATTGTCAATAAATTCTTATTCTCTTACCCTTCTTATTCTCCTATGTTACTTTGTATCAATATCTATATTCTTAATATCATTTTAATACATATTCTTGTAGTAGTCATATTTGCAAAATTTATCAAATTATATCATTCAGTTAATCATTCATAAATGCATCTTAATTTATATTATCCAGTATTTATCCCCTTTTAAATATTAATTTTGCCACCATTATATTTTTAATACAAAATCCCTCCCTAATCTCATTACATTACACAAATCATACTTTCCATCTTATTTTCATTTAATAAAAATTGGTAATAGGTAATAATATTAAATCAGATAAGAAAGTTAATAGTAGGAATATGTAATTATAGTCATGTTGGCTTTAAACTGTTAAAAGACCTGAAACCACACTGTTCACCCAAAGATGTATTTAAAGGAATAAAAATAACAAAAATGTATTGAAAAAAATAAATAAATAAATAAATTATCCTTCTTATTTTCAGTACAGTTGAGAAAAAAAAGGAAGAAAACCACTTGTTTGCCATCCTGCATTGCAAGGAAACCAACAACTTAAGTGTGACATGAAAATTCTCAACTTAACTCAACTCCATTTTATTAAAGGGATTTGTAATTTTCCCTGTTGAGATTTGCAGACTGTAAGTCATAAGAATTGAGCATGTCGTCAGAATAGTTTTTTTTCCTCCCAGAAGTCAAAGCGTTGGCAGAACATCTGTAATTTCAGGGGCTTGTCCTGATGGATTTAGCTCTTTCTCTGCGGGGCTCATCCAGCTGTTGTTTATCCCATAATTCTTTTGCAACTTTCAAGCCATTCCTAAAGATCTCAGTGTCCCTCTTTTCAATTCTGGCAGTTTCCTGTCGCTTCTATTTTTAGATTTCTAGGTCGTCCAGTTTTTCCATGCAGTTCCCTTTGTTTGTGTTTTTACAACTTCTCACTGTCGTCCATTGATCTGCCTCCTGTACATTTTCTCATCCCTTGGTTTTACTCTCCAAAATCACCAGCCCTGCATGTAATCGCAATAGCACTTAGACTTACATACTGCTTCACAGTGCTTTTACAGCCCTCTCTAAGCAGTTTGCAGAGTCAGCCTGTTGCCCTCAACAATCTGGGTCCTTATTTTACCCACCTCAGAAGGATGGAAAGCTGAGTCAACCTTGAGCCGGTTAGGATCGAACTGACAGTTGGCAGAATTAGCCTGTGATACCACAGTCTCACCACTACACCACCATGGTCCATCCTTCCTTCCTTCCTTCCTTCCTTCCTTCCTTCCTTCCTTCCTTCCCTCCCTCCCTCCCTCCCTCCCTCCCTCCCTCCCTCCTTCCTTCCTTCCTTCCTTCCTAGTTAGCAATAGCACTTAGACTTATATACCACTTCACAGTTCTTTTACAGCCCTCTCTAAGCTGTTTACAGAATCAGCCTGTT